TATAAAAATGCTCCTAAATTTTTAGGACCTTTTGGAACTGACACAGAAAATGCAATCAGAACAAAATTAAACAGGATTTAATGTCACTTTATTTCATTAAGCTGTCTCTAATCCATCATTTATTCCCTGGTTTGGTCCTTTGTTTGAACCCTCAAAGACAGCACAGCCTGACATTTAATATTTAGTTTTCATGATTATTGAGGGAAAATAAAAATATATTTAGACCATCATTGTTCTGTTTGAAGATATTAAAATGTCAAATTATTATAACTAAAACTCACATGTTTATGGTCTTATTGACAGAAGGTGATCCATTGCTGACTGAAACCAATAAAGTAGCTAGTAAATGTACGTTTACCATTGTTTGGTGAAAAAAAAAGGCACTTACCAAATTCAAAGTTAATAAAGTGAAAACCTACAACACAGCCATTGCTTTCTAGACCAGGATCAGAATTCAGCACTAGAACCATTCAGGGAGAACCAGAGCAGAACTGCAGACCTGAGGACAGACCTCAGATCAGTGGAGGATCTGATGGGTTCATTTCATTCTGATCTTTGTTTTTGTTCCTGGTCTCATTCAGGCTGAACATCTATGACCATTTGGAGAAACATGGTTTTAGAAACATGCTGGAGGCTTTTAACACATGCTGCTACAACTCCCCATTGATTCATTACAGCAATAGACAATATGTCCAGAGAGCAGTTTACAGTAAAGTCTTTTTCTCTTTTAGTGCTTTGCACCCCCCTCATTCTGACTCATAATCTCACTTATCTCAGCTTCTTGTAAAGTATCCTCCACTGAGCATGAACCCATGAATATATTATCATCACTGGATGCGTTACGTTTGTTTTATGTTTAATCGTAGTGAAAATTTTTGCTCATATGTTTCAGCAGCTGAAGAGGAAACAGGAGAAACCAAACAGAAACCAGGATCCAGTGTTGCTGCAGATTCTGCTGCTACAGAGAATAAAGAAGGTGAGATTACGCTAAAAAGATTAAACTCTAAGTTTTATTGTTGTGAGAACCATCTTTAACTTTCATAAAGCCCCCTGATGTATTGATGAATACTCTCACTGAAGACTAAACTGATATGTTTCACCAGCTGGGGAGAAACCAGAAGAAACCAAAAAGGAGCCAGAGTCCAGTGAGCCTGCAGGTTACACTGATGAAGAGAAAAACCAAGGTGAGATAGAGCTACAAAGATATAACACTAAGTTTCATTGTTGTGTTTCAGGTTGCTCCTTCAGTTTCATTCTGTTGTCTTTCTTGAACTAACAAATGTTTAAAGGTTTGAGTAAATGATAAAACATGAATCAAAATCTATTTTAATGTGTGTTAGATAAACAACCACAATCAGTGACATTCAAATAAATCTTCCAGCCTGAAATGTGAAAAAACTCCAACAGCACATTTCTCATTGAAACTTTAACAAAGCTGAAGGAAATAATCTGTAAAACAACTCAGGCTCAGCTTTCTAGCCTCTAAACTTACAGGTTTACTGATGAGTTATTATCATATTTAAGAATGCAAGGTATTAATGAATGAATATTTCTAATGTTGATTGACCTTATTGATCGATCAAATGCTGATTTTCTTAAAACCTGAGTTTTGTGTGAAGAGGACGCAGCTTAGAGTTGCTAGAAATTCAGACGAGGCTTGGAACAGCACTGAGGATGGGATGTAGCTGGAAGCTGCAGCGTTTCCAATAAGGTTGAACTACAGGAACAGGCAGAGCAACAAACTTCTGAGGAGACATGGAGGCAGAGTGATTAGATTCTGTTCTGGATGCAAGTGGAGAGTGAAGCAGGTGTATGCAGGAGACAGAGTGTGCACAAGGAGAAATTGGCTCATGCATTCTCTCACTCATGTTTAACAGGCGTTCACTCTCAGGAGCAGCTACAGGGTTGTGCGTGTGCATTTTTTTAAACTGGAGAGTGAGTCTTATAAAAAAATAACAAAAATCCTCCACTTTACCTTTAAATACTCAAAAATACAAATAACATTTTCTTATATCAGTAAATTCCCGTGTAATTTTCAGATTAATTTAAAAGAACTTGTAACTTTCATAAACCCACCTGATGTAATGATGAATACTCTCACTGAAGACTAAACTGATATGTTTCAGCAGCTGGGGTGAAAACTGTAGAATCTAAAGAGGAGCCAGGATCCAGTCAGAATGAGGGATCTGCTGAGAGAAAGAATAAAGGAATATTTAACTCTTAGTTTCATAGTTGTGTTTCAGGTTTCTCCTTCAGTTTCATTCTGTGGTCTTTCTTCAAATAACAAATGTTTAAAGGTTTGAGTGAATGAGAAAAAATAACTAAAAACTATTATAATGTGTGTTAGATAAATGATCACAAACCTCCAACAGCACATTTATTATAAATAACTTAACAAAGCTGAAGTAAAATATCTGTAAAACAACTCAGGCTTAGCTTTCTAGCCTCTAAATGTACATGTCTTTTTTTTTTTTTTATAGACAAACAGGCTTTTTTCATCCAAATGTTTCTACAGCAAAAGAGCGCTTAAAGAGTCATAGTTGTTTTAACAAATCTAACTTTTCCTATTTTACAGAAATTAACAATTATTGGTCAAATGGAAAAGATCACCTAGAATCAACCAGCCCTGATAAAAGTGACTAAAGTCTTTATTGCACTGTTTCACACAAAGTAATGTCCAACAGTCAGGATCCCTTATTTCTTCACATGTTTCTTCAAAGCAGGCAGATTTCTACTAGTCGTCTAAATCAGCCTAAACCCAAAGTTCAACAGACTGTCTTGTTCAGAGAAACATGATTTTGTTCATCAGGGTATAAAAAGGCTCCTAAACATTTGGGACTGACACAGAAAATGCAATAAGAGCCAATTTAGACATGATTTAATGTCACTTTATTTTTATCAGCCGTTTCAAATCCATCATTTATTCCCTGGTTTGGTTCTTTGTTTGAACCCTCAAAGACAGCACAGCCTGACATTTACTATTTAGTTACATGATTATTGAGTGAATTTAAAGTTAGTAAAGTGAAAAGCTACAACGCAGTTCTTGTTTTCTAGACCAGGATTAGAATTCAGCACTAGAACCATTCAGGGAGAACCAAGGAGAACCAGAGCAGAACTGCAGACCTGAGGACAGACCTCAGATCAGTGGAGGATCTGATGGGTTCATTTCATTCTGATCTTTGTTTTTGTTCCTGGTCTCATTCAGGCTGAACATCTATGACCATTTGGAGAAACATGGTTTTAGAAACATGTTGGCGGCGGGGGGGGGGGGGCTTTTTAACACATGCTGCTCCACCTCCCCATTGATTCATTGCAGCAATAGACAATTTGTTCAGAGGGCATTTTACAGTAAAGTGGAAAAGCTTTTTTATTTAGTTCTCTGCACCCTCCTCATTCTGGATCATTATCTCACTTATCTCAGCTTTTATGAGCCAACAATATAAATATGTTTCTGAAGTATATTACACTGAGAATGAGCCAATGAATATATTAAACAAAGAATCATTTGATGTGTTAGGTCAGTTTTATGTGTTCATTTTAAAGAAAACTTTATTCTGCTGTGTTTCAGCAGATGGGAGTGGAATAAAAGGAACCAAAGGGAAACCTGAATCCAGCCAGGCTGCAGGTTCTGCTGATATGCAGCTTAAAGAAGGTGAGATTAGTTTATGGTGTGAGATAACTGTCAATAAAGACATACCTGAATGGGTCTAACTTTGTTATTGTAAATCAAATAATTTAAACCTTCGGGTTAACAATTATAAATGTCAGTTTGTTTAGCAGCTTTACATCATACATGAGTTTTTTCAAATTTTTTCAAATTTTCGGTTTCAGATTTTTGTAGTTGTGGCATTTTTTTGATAACCTTACAGATAAAGGTTGTTTGGCTAAAAGAAATGTGACTATATGTTTTTTTTTTTTAGAATAGCTCAGTTTAAATTATAGTTGTTTTTTTATCCAAATAAAGGAGAGTGTTCAGGTCACAGTGATGTAACTCCTTCTTGCAGATGCAAAGAAGAAACCAGTTGATGAAATTCAGGGCCAAAAATCAACACCTCCATACTCATCTCAACCTAACAGTTATAAATCTGGTGGGTAAAACCTAACTTTTTTTTTTTACCTTCCTTAGCAGCAGGTTTATAGTTCTAAGAAAATCAAACTCAGGCATCAATACCAACCAAAGCTCTGAGTTTAAACATGTTTCGCTCTGCAGAACGTCTCCTCTAGTGTGCGTGAGCTGATAATAATCATGATATAACATGTGGATCAATGTTGGATGTGTGTTTAGGATCATTGTCTTGTTACAACATCAGACTGTGTTCAAGTTTTAAACATCTAGTTTCATGGCTCAGAACAGAGGACCCAGAATTCAAAGCTTCTCAAAAGTGTTTAATTATCATCGAATCTGCAATCCAGTAGCTAGGGCGTCTAAGGCTGAAATCTCTGCAGAGGGTTAGTGACAACGTAAAACTGATTACAAACGTGCGAGTCCATAACCTGGTCTTAGAGTTCAGTCCGTGCCCCGAGGAAGGAGTCGAAACCAGCTGAATGGCTGCACTAAATACACTAAATCTCAGTTTGTGGAGCAGCTTTATTTCCTACATGAGTTGGTTCCAATTTTGGGGATCATTGAAGATTTTTTATAGTTGTGGCATTTTTTCATAACATCACAGACTAGAGTTGTCTAGCTGAAAGAAAAGTGTAGTAAAAGTGAAACGTTCTAAGATGTTTTAATTGGTTTTAGTGTGACATAGTAAACTCAAACCGTCTCTCTGACTCCACTGTTGTTATTTCAAGCTCTCTGCTTTGATTTGAGACCAACATTTTTAATTTAGCCCTAATAGCTGTGAGGTTTACTCCAACATATAATCTAGGTTTTCCTTATATAACTTTTCATGTCCGATATAAGAATGATAATGCAGGCTTTAAGTGCTGGCAATTGGTGATACTGACCAAATATGATATTATTGTAATTCTTTTCTATAGACGAGGGTCTTCAACAAGCCCCAGGTCCAGCAGATAACAACCAGGTCCAAATACCAGCATCTCCAATCTCAATCCAACCGAATAGTAATAAATCTGGTGAGTAAAACCTTCTAAGATTTTTTTTTCTTTTTTATGTGTTAATTGGTTTTAGTGTGACATAGTAAACTCAAACCGTCTCTCTGACTCCACTGTTTTAATCTCAAGCTCTCTGCTTTGTCTTGAGACCAACATTTTTAATTTAGCCCTGATAGCTGTGAAGTTTATTCCAACATATAATCAAGGTTTTCCTTGTACAACTCTTCATGTCCGATATAATAATGATAATGCAGGCTTTAAGTGCTGGCAATTGGTTATACTGACCAAATATGATATTATTGTAATTCTTCTCTATAGACGGGGGTCTTCAACAAGCCTCGGACCGAGCAGATAACAACCAGGTCCAAATAACAGCATCTCCAACCTCAATCCAACCGAATAGTAATAAATCTGGTGAGTAAAACCTTCTAGGATTTTTTTCTTTTTTTTAGCAGCAGGGTCATAGTTCTGACAAAAATCAAACTCAGAAATCCATTCTGTAACGAAGCAAAGGTGAGGACCCAGAATTCAGCCAGAACACAGAGTATAATGGTTTAACTGTTCATTGTATAGAAAACTGCAGCAGGATGTGAAAGACTTGTCTGAGACTAGAGCTGGACCTCTCAGCTTCTGTAATGAGAGAGGGAATATTAGTGACCAGGAAAGGATGGTGGAATGAAGTCAGACTGAAAGTTCTAGATCACAGACCTGAGGAGCATTTGGTTCCAAACCAGTCGGCCTGTGACGTCACTGAACCATCTTGTGGTTAGAAGTGCATCCAGGACGTCTCCAGGGAATCCTTCCGTGTTCATTAAAGGTTTGTCCAGGGAAATGCAACAGATCAGAACTGTTAGAGCGAAATACAGTATGAATAGCAAAAGGGCAAACAAGAGTGCAAGGTCTGTGAGCAGGTCCAGGGTTCAGGCCAGGTGACCTGCACAGTTCCAGGTCCAGTAACAGCCAGGCCTTTAGATCAGACAGGGTTCAGACAGGCTCAGATAATCGAGAGACCAGACAGGTCAGGCAAACAGGCAGGAAGTCAGGAGTCAGAATACTGGAATAGATCTTAATGGGTGGCTCCAAATAATCTGGCACCGACAGGGCGTTAATTACCATTAAGGACACTGAGGTCATGTCCTTCGTATTTTTTTATATCAATTTTTTGCCTAAATTGTGATATATGAACTAAAAATAAATTACAGTGAAACTGACTATAATACAAGGATCTTGGTGTTTTACATTTGAAGAGCCAAGAGTAACCTCACAGATAAAATGTTTTTAGTTAAAGAATTTTGATATTTTTTTTAACAATAGCTCAGGCTAAATTATTATTGTTTTTTATCCAAATAAAGGAGAGTGTTTAGGATGCAGTGTTGTATTTCTTTTCTATAGATGCGGATCAGAAACCTGCTTCAGAACCAATAAATACGAAACATGTCAAAACACCATCATCTCTAATCTCATCTCAACCAAGCAGTAATGAATCTAGTGAGTAAAACCTTCTAAGATGTGTTTCTTTTTATGTGTTAATTGGTTTTAGTGTGACATAGTAAACTCAAACCGTCTCTCTGACTACATTGTTCTCAAGCTCTCCGCTTTGTTTGGAGACCAACCTTGTAAACGTAGTCCTAATAGCTGAGAAGTTTATTCCAACGTATAATCTAGGTTTTCCCAAATACAACTTTTAATAATAATTTAACTTTATTGATCTCACATAGGAGAAATTAACTATCTGCATTTAACCTGTCCCCTTGGGGAGCAGTGGGCTACCACTGTGAAGCACCCGGGGAGCAAGGGTCTTCCTCAGAGAGCCAGAGTGGCAGTTTGTGTGTGGGTTTCGAACTAATTTCAAGCTTTATGCCCTAACCACTAGGACGCCATTCCCCAACTTCTCATTTTCGATATAATAAAGATATTGCAGACTTTAAGTATTGGCCAATGCTGATACGGACCAAATATGATATTATTGTAATTATTTTCTATAGATGGGGATCATCAACAATCCACAGACTCAGTAGATAAGTGGAAGGGCCAAACATCAATACCTCCATTCTCATATCAACAAAAAGGTAATGAATCTGGTGAGTAAAACCTTCTAAGATTTTGTTTATCACTTTTTTTAACAGCAGGTTGGTAGTTCTAAGAAAAATCTAACTCAGACATCAATACCAACTAAAGCTCTGACTTTAAACACGTTTTGCTCTGCAGAACGTCTCCTCTAATGTGTGTGAGCTGATGATGATGATGATGATGATGATATAGCATGTGGATCAATGTTTTAGCCGATCAATGTTTTAGTTTTAGCTGTGGTTTTACTTTACCGTCCTTTTTATTGTGCGAGAGCATGCACGTTTCCATTTGTCCTGTTTACAAGTTGCTGTTCTCATAGCTCATACAAGCTTACTGTGCCTGAAAGTATTACGTAACCCCTAAATCCCTCAATCACTCTATAGAGCTGGGACTATATAGTGGACTTTATAGTAACTCAGTTAACTTACCGTTTGGTCAGAGGATCACTTTTTTGCTCTGTTGGTCACGTAACTCCTCCTCCACCGCACGGGGCCTGCGCCATCTTTGTTATTAGTCGCCGCTGTCGGGTAGCGGTAGCCTATGGTGACAGCGGGCCGCTGTGACAGCAAATGCCAATACTTTGCGAGGAGAGCTCTCCATGCTAAAATGATTTTCCATAAAGTGGTGTTTAAATGTCTGTTTATTTAACACTAATATACTGTTCAATTTTTACAGGCTGGTCTTGATCAGTAGTTTATGTTTTGTCATTTTTTTGGTATTGATGATCAGACTAAAGCTAGCATTTTTAGGTTAAATGGTTCTGATCTATAATTATATTTAGTTCTTAAAGGACAAGAAGGACGTTAGGCAATCAGAAGTACATAATTCAGTTGCATTATTGATCCTTTTTGTATCATTTCACAGATAACTCCTCACTAAAGCAAAGTGGTGAAAAAACACCTGACCCAGGTTCTGAAGACGAGGAACAAAGCTGAAACACCCTTCATCCATGTGTGTAACTGCTGTGAGTTGGTCCTCTATGGGAAAATGTTACAAACTTAAAGCTGTTTAACTTGAAGATGACTATTAGAGATTAAACTGAGATTTCAAATGCTGGTGGAGACCTAAGCAACAGTCTCCTGTAGGTGGACAGTTGTCTCTGTCTGAGCATAATGTTGAGAAAGCAGGAGGAACATCTGCTGACAGGAGAGAAACATGAAGGGATGAACTGGAACACTAAAGGTCCTAATGCTACGTTCAGACTGCAGGCAATAGAAGCAGCATAAAAGCTTAAGCTGCTTTATTTTTGATGCTTGTACACATGAAGGTCCGACGAGCCTCAAAAGCATCTTTGACTCTCCTGAAGTGCATGCAGTGTGAAAAGATGTGTCTGATGCTTCTGCTGCCCCTGTGTTTAATGGCAGGGAGCAGCTTTGCTGTATTTGCTGTTATAAGTGGGTAAAAAGTTGATTTAATATATTTCAAGTCCATCTGAAAACATCATCTATGTAATCAGTTTATCAAGATTACGATCCTGCCTTCAAATAGTATTTAGCTGTCAGACCAGCAGGAAACCTCTGTACACAGGCGGGGCGCTGTCACTGAGAATCCCCTTTAACAGCAGCCTCTGACCCAGTCGCCTCTTGGGGGTTTTCCACTACTGTTCGTGGCTCCTGAAGGGAGAAATTAGCGGTTTTCATTTACGTAATCCAAATCGCACCAGAATAAAATAATGAAACATATTTTGCCGGCAGGTTTTGACATTTTAAGTTAATTTAGGCATTAATAAACTGTTTCAGAGGAGTGATCATAGCGAAATGCATCAGCAGTGCTGTATCTATCTCTCTGCTAGTTCCTAGGTCCAGGTATTAAAGTATTCTGGGCCCAGGCCAGATTTCCGGCTGGGTTAAAAAAAAAAAAATAACTTGAAAATAAATTGACGGTAAATAAATCTAAACAAGACAATCGAAATCCCTCTTGTGTTTGTTAGCCAATGGTAGCAAAGAAGCGCTCAAGGAGAGTCACCTTGCGCCGTTTACGGGTCCATTCAATGGAGAGACATGTATAAAGTCAAAAAAATAAATACATTAAACTTTGTGTTTGGAGAGAAGGATAACAGAGAAAGGAATTGCATGCAGTGGGCATGATGCAGTTCATGAACTCTGGAGAAGATGTCATGACCATAGATGAAGGCCTCAAAAATTAATGGTGCTGGGCATGGCTGGAGGAGACAGGGCGAGATGGCGAGCCGTTTAGCAGCTGCTGCAGGAAGTTGGGTAAACCAGGCGCTTGCTTCTGCACGCTGAGCTTCAGGAAGCTTATTTACTCATCCAGCGGCAAAAAGGTGCTACGCAAACATGAATGGCATGGCTTCAATCCCTACAGATCAGCGTGTCACGCACCTCAGATGCTCAGAAGCTCATGCGGCGCTGCTGCAGGTGCTCAGATGCATCAAGATGCTCTTCTCCTTGTGCTCGAAACGCGTTGCAGGACCTTTTTATGTGCTTCAACCATTGCCTTAACATGTAAACCAGCTGCTTCTGCTGCTTCAGTAGCGTGCGGTCAGAACATAGCAGACTGCAGACTGACTCCAGTCCTGCCTTAAGTAGAAAATGTAGTTATTTGTCTTAATTTAAACACAACAGCAATGACCTTGTTGTTTTGAAGTTTTATCTTTCCCAGGTTTGTGTGTGTTTTTATAAGTTGGAGAGATGTTTTTTTATAAGTCAGTGTTTCTGCAGAGAGTCCTTTTTGCAAAAATTTTATTTAACATTTGCTTAAACATACATAAATACATTTACTGCAACTTTTATGTTCTTTATTGTCTGTGCATAAGTGTTTGTCCATAACTAACATTTATAATGTGAGAAACCATGAGCTCAGTGTTCGGCTGCTTTTAGTCTGTAAAGGAAAAATCCTAACAAATTACTGGTAACACAAAAATACGATTAAGTTTTTATATTAGAGAAAAAAATATGTCATTCAAACACTAACCATGAATCATTTAAATGTATTTGAAGTGTTTTTGTTTGGGATGTTGTTGCACTCTATTGCAGCTCACTGTATTACCACTAGAGGGCAGCACACTCCACTTGTGCTAATTTTGAAGTCAGTTTTTCACATCATGTCTTGATTTAGGAAAAAGGAAATTGAATGTAAAAATTCTTATAATTATTTCAATAAAATATGATTCTGCTTAAATGTAAAAATGCAATAAAGAAAAAGAGAGATGTCATGTGACAAAAATGCCTTAAACGGACCTCAGTCAGTGTCTCTCTGCAGAATTTCATCCTTACTGTACTTTGTTTGAATAAAGTTATTTATTATCTACCATATAGTTTTTTTTTCTTTCCAGATAATGACTGTCTAACTTGACTGAAAATATTCTAGAAAAAAATCTCTGTTTGCTGAATGTTAATGTTAACCACAGAGGCTGAGGAAAAATTAACTGTGGTGCTTTCCATCCATCCACTGTCAGATCAGAGGCCTATTTGACAAAACTGAGCTCAGAGATTTAGATGGAATTTTCCAGATTTTCAGGTCTAATTAAGCCTGAAATCGATTTTTACAGCAGTAGCTAGACGTAAGTTACCACAGTGATTTATTCTGTGTAGTTAGCCTGCTCCAGGCTAACAGCCAGTCTTAATGCTGGTGCCTCATCCGCTCAGTCAGAGGTAATACCGATCAGAAGGGATCAAGGTTCTGTTTTTTTTTCTGTGCCTTTTTTATTCTTATAAACCATTAAAAAACAGTAATATATATTGTTATATGGTCAAGTACTCTAACTCTAGTTGTCAATCAGGCTGTTGCCTCCTTTATTCTGAGGTTCTAGGCCTCTCCTCCCCAGTTGACTATCTGAAGCACCAGTCTGGCCACTGGCACAGATCTTCCTTCCTTCTTGGCTCAGATATGAGCCAGAGGAATTTTCCCAGAGCTCATCCCAGAGCGCTCTCCTAAGCCTTCTCCCAGGTCCCAGTCTTGTTCCTCCTGCACCTGCTTCAGGTGCCGTTCCATCCTCTCCAATCTATGTTCCTCCACTGGTTCATCCGCTCTACACTCACCAGCTGACATCATCTCCTTTTCTCCTCGCTCATCACCTCCATAGACAAGCTTAGCTGCTCCACTGTATCCCTCCTTACTCATCTGCACAGATTCATGTCTCCAGGCTGGGCCACGCCTAGGCTCCCTCTGTCGTCTGCTAACACAATTGGCCGGCATGCAGCTCAGCACCTTCCATCAGCATTCACCACACAGATGCCCAACCTGGACTTTCTAGAGGTGAGATGTGGTGTTTTCTCTCCATGCCTTTTCTTCCTTCAAACAAACTATACATACCTAACATTGCATACATTTCTCCCAGTCTCTGTTGTGCAGGGATTATCTAATCTGGTTCTCACCAATGCAGGGGCAGATCTAAAGGGGGCTAAGGCCACCCCTAGCCATTAATTAGCCTCCCCTGTGGTCTATCCTACCTGGTGATTTGCGGTTCCCATGTGGATATAATGGACTCTAAGCACAACCCCACTTCTTACTGAATTTAAGGAAGCTCCCCTCCGTGTCTTTTTCTACTGGATTAACTGATTAATTCAGGTTAGCCTGACCCCAGCAACAATAGCCAGACAAATAATGGCCAGATAAATAATAAAAATTCACCAGTAAGCCAAATGTATAAGATGTATTTTCAGCACTTTGATCTGTTATAAATTAGTGGGGTCTGCAGTTTTACTTCTCTTACAGGTCGGCTGGATTTTAAATCAACTGGATAAGAATAATGTGGGCAGAGCTCTTCCTAATTCAAGAAAATAGCCTTTTATGTCATGAGACGTGACAGAAGGACCCAGTATTCAAGGTGAGACAGCCAGTATGAAAGTTATAATCGTTTATTTATACAAAATAATACGGACGGAACAGACACGCTGCTGTGGATCTGCAGCTGCAGGTGATTCTGTAGAGAAAAGGCAGGTAAGTGATCACAATCATCTGAACAGAAGATGATAATTATAGTGAGTCAATTACCTGCTTCTACTGTTCAGTCCACCAAGGAACGGACATATCTGGGTTCCAGAAATCCATCATAGTGTGAAGGCAGGTTCAGGGTCCTGTGCGTCAAGCATCCAGCTCAGACAGAAACGCACAGATGGTCAGAATCCAGCAGGAATCCAACAGAGGATCAGGTGGGCAGAACAGGATGAACCAGTGGGTGAGATGGTACTGAATCAGGAAAACAGAATCACTAGGGACATACTGAAAATCTCTCACCACTGGTTAGGGAAAATAACTCGCCTGAGGACACTGGCTTAGGAATTAACTCCTCACTGGAAAAGGGACAAGAACCTGAGAACTAACTAAACTAAATAAAACTGAAATCAAACAGAAAGCTAACAGAAAACAACGATCAGACCCTGAATGCCCAGGCTGAACTGAATATCAAGCAAAGGAAACAGGTGAGAGGAATAAATGATAATTAAGGTTGGAGGAATCAGGCCAGATCATGACATTTTAAGGCTATATATATCTATATATCAATATATAAGGATATATATATTTGTACTTTGTTGATATTCAAATTTTAGGAAACAGTGAATTTTGTTATTTCAATATTGTTAAACTATAATCATAAACCCTACTGGAAATAAATATTAACTGTCTTAAATTAAGTGTATCTACCCTTAATTTTAGCAGGTAAATAAGACGATTTGTCAATGGAATAAGTATTTTTACACCTAAAACAAGATAATTAGAAAATATGCACTTGAACTAAGACAATGCAATTATCTTTTCTTATTTTACATTTAAGTTGTCTTATTCCATTTGTCAAGTGTTTCACTTACCTTCTCAATTCAAGAAATATGCACTTATTTTAAGAAAAATTTACTTATTTAGTATCTATTTTAGATTTCAAATTTTGCAGCGTCATCCTATTGTCGCAGCTTCCTTTCCAACCCTTTTAGCCAATGAGCTGAGACTAAAGGTCAGGTTCAGCGTTTCTCAGAATAGAGACGCGCTGATCTGGTGACAGATAAACTGAGATTTGAGGAATTCGTTACAACGAAGGAGCGCCACTAGATGGATTATGAAACCATGAGATCAAAATGAAATCTGTGTGGATTAATAAACTGCGTTCAACTAAAGTTACGGCTCTCCATGACCTAACTTATCAACACTCTGGCAGCAGGTAAGTGCGCACCTTTCCATTTCCATTTACACTGCTGCCTGTAACGCACAGCCTCTACATTCATACCCAAACGTTCCCTGCATCTGATTTCTAGTCTTTGCTTCCAACACATATTCTCATCAAACATGAACTTGTGTTTTATTTCATTAAGGCACTTTCAGAAATGTTT